TTCTTTTTCTTTAGATTTAATTTAGTGACAGAATTTCTTAACTTGCAGTTTTTTTGCTTTTCTTCTACAGATTTAGTTTTTTGTGCTTATTGATTGGCATCATATCTTTGAAACATATAAGTCTTTAGTTCATGATCAACCCAAGGTGCTTGATACCTTCTCACAGTCAGTTTTCTAACAGGGGCATGCTTATCTATAGTGGGCAGAAGATTATTCAAAAATATAACTAGTGCAGTATCTGTATCATTTGCCTTAAAAAATTTTGTCCAAGATAGATTTTGAATGTCCTTTGGATACGCTTCATTAGAAAAAGATTTATAGGTTCTTTTGAATACAATTTTAGGTCTAGCTCCAGGGACTTTTATTTTTTTTATTAATGATGACCATGTTATGGTCAGTATAGCCTACTGGTATTGACACGGCTTTTGTGTAATTATAATTTACTGAGAGGTAAATATGATCTATACAGGTAGATGTGCTTACACCCCAGTTGTTTGTAATAATGCGCGTAGGCTGTGTCACCATTTGCTTTAAACAGCATGCATTACTTATGTTGGTCAGATTACTTTTTAATGGACACTTTTTATCCAGCCATTCAATGTTTAAGTCCCCTGTGAAAACAACTTCCATATCTGTGGCTTAGCTTTGCAGAGCAGGCCAGGCCTGGAGGCTGCTGAGCAAAGAGGCCCTGATCTCAATCCACCAAATATCTAATTTGTTGTTATCAATCCACTCTCAGGATTCTTCCAACTCAGCCTTATAAACCTTCCTCGGTTGGATGTTTAGTTTTGAAATGATTTTGTTAAGAAAATTAGGACAAAAATAGTTCAAACTAGTCTGTCATCTGTCACCTGCTGTCACTCGGCAGCCATCTTGTGTAATGGAGAAGATTTTTTTTTCCTCAGTAAGGATGATGGTAAATATGCAAGACAATGGAGGACAAAATGAGATGCAGGTGGAGGTGATTAGAGAGGTGCCAAGTAATTGTGAACAAAATGCAGGAAGTGGAACAACAACAATGGGACCGGATAGAAGGGACTACAAAAACCCATGTCAACCCATGACATTAACAACTGTTTTATGACAGGTTCACAAAAGGGCAGAACAGCGGAGCTGGTATCCAGGTCAAAACTGAGACAACCATAAAAGCACCGCCACTGTTATTAACAAGTAGTTGTAATCAATTATGAAAGCCATTACCAAGTGAAGTTTATCAAAATATACGTTTTAATCCACATCACAGCTGAATCACAGAGAGAATTGGATGATGATCGCTCTTGGCTCTGAATGGGCATCATGGCGTGTCTCAACCAATCACAGCCTTTATGTTAAGACCTTTCACTTTCAACAGAAAAAAAACTAACGAGGACAGAATGAAGAAAAGCGGTGGCCAGGAGCATTGAATTCAATTTCAAAACTCTTCCAGATGGCGGGCTGCATTAACAGAGTCATCTGGTGAGCATTGCAATGCAAACACCAAATTTAATAGCCAACAGCCTGCCATTTTTCCCTAAACCGACACAAACATGCAGAAACCTCTAATTGGGGAAATAAACGCTTAATGTACTGCTTCTCTGAGGGAGCAGCAACCTAAGCATTGTGGGAAACAAACTGGTAGGTTGTGTTTATTCTCAAAATCTGTGAAATTTTTGGTCTGCACACATCACCAGTTTGCACTTATGTGATGGTCTGGTGTTGATATAACAGCCAACCTCAATCTTTTTGCAGACTGGGTTGAACTACAGTTCACTTTAAACCATCAGCCAGAGTTGCTCGTGCTAGTTTTTTCCAATGATCTGGTGTGGCAAAACTACCCATCATTCGCTAAAACGATATAATAACATATTGGATAACCACTTAACATGTTTATTTCATAATCTTCACCAAATCAGCAAAAAGCACAACTGACAAGATTTCAAATTTTTGCTCTAACATGTTGACTCTCTGCTATACTGTTCTACAAGATAGAAAACCAACTTGCTGACAACAGGGCTTTTCCATGCTTAGGAATCTAATCAAGAAAACCAAGGCAGATTGGTAGAAGTCTCTATCCAAAGCCAAAAACCTGTAAAGAAAATATATATTTATGAACTGACTCAAAAGGATCAGAGAGAATGCCACAGTTACTACACCAATAAGTAGTTACTACACCATTGTGTCAGCAAAACCCAGCTGGATACTTCTCCAACTGATAGTGACTCAACAACCATACTGAAGTAAACAGAAGAGATTCTCCCATTATTCAATTCAATTTCAATAAAATTGTATTCATATAGCGCCACATCACAACAACAGTTAACACAAAGCTCTTTCCAAACAGAGCAGGTCAGACCCTAGTAATTTACAAGAGCCCAACACTATTATGGTCAGTTGTCCATCTAAGGGATTCTAAATGAGGGATTTTTGGCATTACTGAGCCAGTGGAAAGCAGCTCATGGTTAGTGGAATCCCTCACCTAAAGAACAAGCCAACTTTGTTTCGTCTTTCGACCAGTACCGGGCGTGAACCTTGACTTCGACCCAAGTTTTGTCTTGAACCCTTCCTTGCTTTTCCTTGTCTGAGTGAGTTTATTTTTTAAATGAGGTGTACATCACACCAAAAAAAAAGATGCTACTGCACTTCAGTCTGACGTAGGGTTGTCACGATACAAAAATTTTCAACTCGATACCGATACTCAGGAAAATACTCGATACTCGATACCATTTTCGATACCACAAGGATAAAAACAAAGACCC